AACACTACTTCCATTTTCGACCACATATTCATGTGAGCAAAGTTTTTGAACTATTGTTTTAATTAAAAATGATAAGCGGTCATGCTTAAAAGGTCTTGACCAAGAACTTCGGGTTGTGCTGTCAAATATTGAGCCAAATATAAAACTTTTGTGTTCATTGAAACATGCGAAATTATCACATTAATTAATCATTATTTTATATTTTTTATAGAGTGGCACCTCGCATTACGAGCATTACGAGCATTACGATAAACAAATATTAAAAGTATAAAGAGACCTCCACGAAGTCCCCGAATTGACACAAATAATATAAACAAATTAAATAAAACAAATAAACGGAGCATTGGTCTAGAATATTGGAATACTCACATTTGTACTTTCAATATATATAGGATAACAGTGTTTTCAATTAACGATATCAATCCAAAGATAATATTGAGGTTGATGAACAAATCATCATGGACATTATTGAACATGTTTGTTAAATATTTCATTGTTCTTTCTCAATATTTATATTGAAGCAGTAACTACTAATTACTTATTTTAAACACTAAATTTAATGAAACTGATTCGTTTTTATTAAGATCACTTCCGCTTCCGCTCGTCAGCGTAGTTTCACGAAATCTGTCGCGTTTACTGCACTTTCAGGAGGAAATATTTATGCGCTCGCGCTCTTGCTCAATGATCGACAAATGCGGTCTCAATTTAAATTCCTAATTATCGACGAATAAAGTAGTCCAAATATGCATATTATTTACATAAAAACTGTACTATAATTTGGTAACGTTTTGTGTTGATATACGAAATGAAATGTTAAATTATTTTAAAACTATTTTGTTTTTCCATCTACAATTATGTTATCTTTAATTTTCGTTATATGTTCACAGATTTGTAAAATTTCAACATAATCTGTATTATATTGACTTTCGACGAATTTAAGTAATATATTTGCAGCTGTACAGTCTTGTTTTGCCCCTCAAACTCGGCGACTCTATACTCGTTTTCGGTGTCGGTTCTGGTAATACGCTTTGAATTATATAAACGTCGTTTCATTTTTCGGGTATGCAACAACTCGGCAGCGGCAGATATTCATATTTTTAAGATAATCACTTATTATAATTCTAATTAAACTAATTTATTGGCCAAAAAATATAACATAACAGAAAATAAACGTAAACATAACATACAAATATATTTAAAATAAAATCCCGGGGGGGGAAATTATTATTATACTGCGTGGGTCAACTTCAACTGACTGATGTAAAATACTTATAACTTTTGTAATTGTTTTTTTTTAGATTTTCGTTTTCTAGATAAAAGTATAGTTTATGAGAATTTTCTGATATAAGTATGGAAAATAATATTCATATGACCTCCATTTTTTTGTTGAAACGTAATGTCTCTTTCTAATGCATTTCTGGCTCCAAATTTGTTATTTCTTTACGAATATTGTATTTAAGATGTTTTATTATTTGTGGTTCATTCTGGTGAACGAAATCAGAATTTTTTGAAATATTTCCGTCACCAAATTTATTGGCATATCTAAAGCATTGTTCTGAATTATGTGTTAACAATTTTTGTGCCAATTGAATTTTGTATGGAAACATCTTCAAAAAAGTTTCAATATTCGTCTTAGTGCTGTTCTGAAGATGTCCAACTAAGTAGCATGTCGAAGAGCGTACACAAATGGATCATCGTTGATACTCTGTCGTACAGCCACTACAGCGTCTTAATTGCGAACAGTAAGATGATGATCACATACTACATCCCGTTCCTAAAAACAGATTTTTGTGCGTTGTAACAATACATCGTCGGAAATATAATAAAATTGTATAATTTTGACCAGTTCTTGCACTGAGTATGTAGCCATTATGAAATTTATTAAAATTCTTTATAACTCAAAAAAACAAAAAAAAATAAAAAAAATGATAAACTCAAAAGTTATAAGTATTATTATTATTAATATTAAATATAAGAAATATTCTACAATGAAATTAATTTATTTTTGTTAATAGGTTTATCGGCCCAAAATTCATTTTTAATACAGTCGAACCTCCCTTAATGAGCATAATTCGTTCCAGAATTTCCGGATTTTACTCATATAGTGAAACAATGTTCCCCATAGAAACTAATGTAAAATACGATAATGCGTTCCATTGTAATTATTTTACTGTTCATAACTATTGTTATTTTTATTCTTCGGCTTTTTATTCGGAGACAGGCAAGTGTTATTAAAATTTGCAGAATAAAATCAGAAATAACATGTCCGAATGCCTCGCTCCATTTGTTTATATAAAAAAAAAACGTACATAGTTTGTTTATACTATAATAATGGTTGGCCACAATACATTTTTGTTTTTACAGCAAACATAAATTATATTTGCAAAGTATAATCCTCTATAAATAAACATAATAAAAATATCGAAGAAAAATATGAACAATACGAGACTTCTTTCGTCACTTCTTATGCGAAACGGCGCTCGTTAAGCGAGTCATTTTTGTTACAATTTATTTTGCTCTTTAAACGAAATTCTCGTTACGTGAGGTTCTCGTTAAGCTATGTTTCACTCTATATTTTTGGCCTAATAAATTATTATTAATATAATTGAATTTCTTAAAAAAAAATGAGTATCTATCGCCGAGTTGGCAGGTGCCCAGTTGACCGCTGTCGAGTTGTCGTGTACCTCATTTTTCATATCCTGATTTATCTCTGTCAATATTTAACACATATAAGTCTTTGAAATTTCGTTATTTGAGTCTACATCTTCAAAATCATTTCCGTCAAGTGAAAATTTGATGAGATATACAGACACAATTTGATTCTATATCTTATAAATTGTCCCACACTATGCGAGGTATAGTTAAATTTATTTTTCCATATATTTTGTGTATTTCATTTAAATAAAGTGGTGCTGTTGAGGAGAGTAAAAGGAAAGGAGTTCTTCCTCTCCGCAAGAGGAAGTGGGCACCTTCCCACCCTACACCTAGCACCTTACCACGTTACCCCAGCAGGATGTTGAAGACTTTTTATAGATGATTATTACAGCGGTTCTCAATCTTTCGATTTTTCGTCCCTTTACTTTCAATGAATAATTTAGAGCAAAAGCGTTTCGGATTGAGGGCGTGCCTCACAGTTTGAAAACCACCGGGTTAGTTTAAGGGATCATCAATTAACGCCATGAATACAGATATGCTATTATTGTGTTTGTTATTTTTTTTATTTATACTGATTACAAATATAATTTCCAAAGATTAATTAATTTGAAAAAATTGGTCCAGCGTTTTATATTAGATTAAAAATTAGTTTATTTATAATCTTCAGTATTCTGTCACAAACATGATAGAACAAAAAGAACCGTAGTGTAGATAACATCGTTTATTTCTATTTCATCGATAAAGCTGTACCTGGAATAAATAAAGCAACAGGACGACAAACTAAGCAATGACAATGTCGTTTTAATGTTCTCAAACACTTCGATTTTTGTAAAACAACAAAGCGGAATTTCAATGGTAACCAGAAATAATCCACCTAATGTATTAAACTGTTTAATCTTTTTTAAATATATTTGATTAACTAATACATTATAACAAGTATGCATCCTCTAAAGCAAAATATTGATCTCGCGGTACACACATTTTTAAATCTCACGGACACTTCCATTATTTTTTTTCTATAAAATAAGATTCTAAATAAGAAATTTCCATTGAAATATAAAAACCCAATTGTAATTCCCATTCAAATATAGTCATTTTTGTTGTGAGATTTCCTATAGGATTTCTATACAGTGAAAATGAAAAGCAATATCATTAAAAATCGAGACCAAGATATACTTTTTTCTTCCGGCATGTAACGCATTATCGTATAAAATCTGATTATAACAAGGTGTTAAAGGTAGATTTCAAACCAGTTGTGCTCGGTCGGCCGAACACTTCTTACAACATTCTTTTATATATGACATAATTTCGTAAGAAAAAAATAAAAGTACACGAAATTCAAATAAGAAAATGCTCTTAACAATTTAAAATTTTAGGGATGCGCATCCACAGCATCCATGGACATGCATATTTATTTTTCCAGAATTTATATCATTTTTTGTTATGTAGTAAGTATACATTTTTTTTAATATGTATACATACGTATAGCATTATGACTAGTTATATTTTATGCAATTTATTAATTTATTAAATAAAATATTTAAAAACACTAATCCTGTAATTTTTATGAAACTTCGGATAATTGGGCCAACCACTTAATCGGTACAAAATGTACTAGACTCGATTTGTTCCGATTAAAATTGGGTATTGATTGCGCAGTAAAATAACCACGTCAAATGCTCGACGACATTAACTCTAGTGCCGTAGGTTGGAGGAGTTTGGTTTTAGATGTTTGGATTTTAAAAATACATATTAATCATATACACTCAAGTGCCCCAGCTTATTGAATTTTCGAATGAAACGTTCTTTTTTTTATCAGTTTTAATAATTCTGGGAAGCTTTCTGCTCTTGCAGCTTTGTTATGTAATGACGGAAGTATGTACTTGTATTTTATATTGAGGTTACTTAACGTCGAGCATGAGATGAGTTCTGATCCTGGTGTCAAGTCTTTGATTTAGTAGAGTTCTATCGTTTACTTTGGCGGTCAATTTACAAGACAATAAAAGGGGCCCTGTGCTGCAGACCCTAAAAATCATGGTTAAATCTGCAATCGGAATACCAGCA